CACTCTCCTAATGTTCTCCAGGCAGTGCTGCAAATTGCAGCTTTGCCTTGTAAAAGTATTAATTCAGCCCTCACAGAAATACCTTGTACTTTTTGGAAAATAAAGCAAAAAATTAATTGTATCTATGCTCCACATCCAGTGAAAAAACTAAACTGCCTTTAGCTGAGGGCTGTGTTAGGCTGGTAGGGGGTTTTCGGTCAACACCTCTTAGGAAGTACTCTAACAATAAACCTGGTTCACCTACAAAGCAGAGTGTAGAGTGGAAGCAGACAGCCTAGTAAAGCATTAAAGCGGCCGCCTAATTGTGAACATGCAAATACCCACATTAGGAAGATTCCTGTGCCTACAACGAGGTGTTCACTTGAGTACTTGCTGGGCTGGAGCTCAAGGCTTTACTGCAGTGCTGGGACTGGGGAGGGCTGGTGACTCCCAGTGCTGGGGTGCAGGAGGGCAGTACACCAACGGCAGTCTGGCAAGGCAGGTTTCGTGTCCTTCAAAACCAGGCAAAGGCTCCCCAAGGGGAGCACAGAACTGATTTTAATCAATGGATTGATGGCAGCTCTGGGGAGAAGGACTTGGGGGTGTTGATTAATGAGAAGCTCAACGTGAGCCAGCAGTGTGCGCTTCAGCCCAGAAACCAGCCGTGTGCTGGGCTGCATCAAAAGGAGTGTGAGCAGCAGGCTGAAGGAGGGGATTGTCCCCTTCTGCTCTGCTCTGGGGAGACCCCCCCTGCAGTCTTGTGTCCAGCTCTGGGGCAACAGCACAAGAGGGACACGGAGCTGTTGGAGCAAGTCCAGAGGAGGCCACAGAGATGCTGGAGGCTGGAGCAGCTCTGCTCTGAAGCCAGGCTGAGAGAGCTGGGCTTCTCTGGAGAAGAAAAGGCTCCTTAAGGGGAGATCTTAGAGCAACTCCCAGTGCCTTTGAGCAACCTGGTCCAGTGGAAGATGTCCCTGCCCATGGTTGAGGGGTTAGAACTGGATGAGCTTTGAGGTCCCTTCCAACTCAAACCAGTCTGTGATTCTATGTTCCATGGATACTTCTATCTAGAAAGCCATTCCTTGCACAACTTGATAGAAACCTGTGTGCATGCAGCAGCCTTCTGGTTGATGACCTATATCCATGTGCTGAGATGGAAGGGAACTGGGTCTTACTGCTTTGATGCCAGAAAACTGGCAGTGATGCATGTGTGAGAAGACAAGGCCTGACAACACAGCAGCGGGGCAGCAAGGTGGGCCAGGACACTGGCTTCATTACTCCAGCGTCATACCAATAACACTGCCATGACATAAACACTGTATTTATTTGTTGATGTTACTACTTTGTCAGAGCAGATCAGTCTGAGACTGTCAAACCACACGAGACACAAAAATAAGTTAACTGCATACCCTAGCACAAACTTCTTGCTCATGCAGCCTTTTGTGAGTTAGCATCTCTGTTAGCAGTTTTCTTTAGCAGTTTTCCCCACCTTGGCTATTAGCCTAGCAGTAAATATGGGAGTCCAACAGAGGAGTAAAAGGAATAATTTGCAAAGAAATGTATCCTAGGAAACTGCTCTCGGGCTGAGGCACACAAAATGAAACACAAAGGAGAAAAAAATCAAACATCTGCAAAAATTAATTCGAAACAAGGCAAGAGTGGTCCCAAGTTACAAAGTCCCACTGGGGATCGAACTGCACCAAAGGGTTTTGTTACTTATTACAAATTAGGATTCTTTATTTTGTTTTTTACTTTTCTGGTCACACATATTTCAAAGTAAGTTTTTATTTGCTCCAGTGCTACGACCTTCCCCACGTTTCAGCCTGGAGCACGTTTTCATGGCTTAGTTATAAATCCCTGAAATTAGGGGTTTATAATGGAAATGCTGGAAAGCCCTTGTCTAACACAGTGCAAGCATCTCAGCAGTGGAGTCAAGAGTTTGTAGCTAGGTGAGTGCAGCAGAAATCTTGTTTGTATGTAAGTAATGGCAGGAACTCAGCAGAAGTGGCTGACATGTAAACTGCAGCCCATGCTTATTATTTCAGTCTACAGGACAGCTGGTACTTTCCAAGGGGCACCCTCAAGTCTGGCCCTCATTAACTTACACTGTGTAGTAAGGGTTCACACATGAGCTCCCTCCCTGGTCATCTTTCCCACTTTCTTTCCCTTGCACTCAGGTTTACATCAGGCTCTTCAGTCAGTTTCAATCATAGGATGTGCAAACAGTTTGCACACCGTATGATTGAAAAGTTTTGCACACTCAATAATCATTTTAATATAGATTCTGCTACGGGGGGTGTGACTTTTGGAAGCTGTTGAAACAATGGCAGTTTCTTTGTTTCTTCATGATTTACAGCCTTGCATCAAACCCGTAACTAACGGCTTTCAATCTATTTCTGATCCAAGTTCTGACTCCTTCAGAAGACAGCAGAGCTACTGAGAAAATATCAGCTTCCACATCACACCTCAGACAGCTGCCACTCAAACACACATCTCCCTGCAAACTTTGCCAATTAATGTGTAGTCCAGATGAAGAGAAGCACTGATATTAGACATGCTTATGAGGTGACATTGGTATGATAGGCAGATGTTGCTCTGCGATGACAGCAGTCTTCTGACACAACCAGCAAGGATCATTCTGTCTTTTTGTTATTTTTAAGGGTACCTTACCTTGTTTAACAAGAGCATTCAAATGCAAATCACAACCATTTAACATTACCACAGCCCTCTGCAAGAGAGAGGCACTGAATCAACAAAAGCTGCATGTTTTGTAGGAGTGGTGTCTTGTATCAACTGATGATGTTCCCGTAGTAATACTCATGCCAGCATTAAAGGACAAAAGATGCAAATGCCATGAGAGCTCAACTTTCATGCAAATTGGTCCTTGCAACCGAAATTCATTATCATGACAATCACATGGGCAAGAGGCAAAACTTTGAAACATTGCAACAGTAAAACTCCTGTTTAAGTTCTGAAGTTTTGGTACTGGGAGTTGTTTTGGTACATGTTCCATGGAGGACATTTTTCATATGCAGGAAGGAGCGGGATTTTTTAACCCTCTGAAGCTCAACACTATATCTCTGGAAAGTTGTTTGCTTGGTTATACATGAAGGTAGATTAGAAATATAAACCTTGGTGATCCTGGTGACTTCCCTAATTACAAAGACTAACAAGACCAACCATTACCCACTGAAAACAAAGGTAACTGTCATCACCTTAACCAAAGGAAGCCTCGGGCCCCAGGATGTGTACTATATTAACATCCCATTCTGTTAATAGAAGACAATTCCACAAAGACAAAAATTTCTAGTCATTCATCAAACCTAGCATCATTCCATCTCTTGGGAGTTTGATGCCCCTAACGTGCAGTAATACACCATCTAGATGAAGCAGGCAGTTAAGAACTAGTATTACCATTAAAGCTGGTAAGTAGAATAGAGTGAGAAAATGATGGGACCACAGGGTAAATCTACATCAGAATTAGGCAGAAACATCTTGAAGGCTTTACTTTCAGCCCTCTCTATCTACATGTTTAACGATAACGTTAAAGCTAGCCCAAGCAGTCAGAGGTATGTGCCAATATCCAGTTTGAGTACACAGCCCTGACACATCAAAGAATACACGTGTGTTAAAGTGTGCATCTGTTTGAAAAGTTGGGCCAACGTGGAAAATCCTGTTATCAAAAAAAAACACCATGGGGAGCTCTTCAGCTAATGCAAACCACTGTAATTCTATTGACAGCAATGGATCTGTGCTGACTTACACCAGCTGAGGATCCAATTTCATATGCCTTAGAAAACTGATGCAACTTTTTCCATAGCTGCTCAAGAGTTTCTATACTCTCGTGGGGACCAACTTCAACGAGCAGGTCAGCAGGTGCTGAGTTTGCTTTGAATGTGAAGTCCAGTCACACAGAAGGATACTGGGACATGTGCCATCTGATTTTTACTGACCCACAGAGATTCCCCTTTAGAATGGCTGCACGATTCATGTATTTTCTGCTTTAGTCTAGTGGGAGATACATGTTTCTTCATGAAAGCAGAAACCTTTACTCAAGATACCAAAGTGAGAACCCGACCTGGACCACAAGCCCAGATGAGTGAGCACGATGGAAGCAGAAAGGGTGAGCAAAAAACATTTTCCCAGGAATACTCCAAATATACATAAAGGCATCTTCCATTTTTAGCCACTATTACAGTGATTTGCAAAAAACAACAGTTATCTGCAGCTATCCAAAATCCACAGGTCTAAACTCTACCCAACCCTTTTCAAGCACTTTCCTTTCCTAATGCAAAGGGAATTTTGCATTAGTAGGGACCACTGCACTCAGCCCTCTTACACTGAACAATGAAAGGGCCTGGGCTGGGATTACACACTCTCAGCCAGGCAGAGAATATGTAAAATTGTCAAGTGAGGTAATCTCTGGGGAGAATTAAGCAAACTGCCCCAGTTTTGCAAATCTACAACCTGTACATTCACAACGTTGGAGTGAATTCACAGGAGGACACACTTTTAGCATGATGGTCTGTCTCTGGCCATTAAAGAGCTTTGGGGGGTGGGGGCAGCCCTTTGCAAGGAACAAGTTTATTTGCAAAAGAGAAGAAGAAGAAAAAAACCCCTTGCCATTAATTTTGACAGAGCTACTTCTGTCTCTTTTGTAATAACTAATTATCTAACTAGTGTAAGAGCTTTCAATGGCCAAATGAAAAGCACTCCCAAGCCCTGCCAGGCTAATCAAGACAATTTCCAAAACGCCAAAAAACCAGGAACTTCCTATAATAAATAACTTAGCACATTTACATCTCAAATTAGAACATCTGGAAGAAAAAGACTACGCCTGATGCCAGAACAGGCCTTATTGTATCCTACCACTTTCCACCACCACCACCCCCCTCTTGTTCATTTTCTTCAGCCTTTCCTTCGAACAAACACTGATCCAGGTGCAAATGCTCAATTCACAAGGAATGCAGTGAACATAAAATTACTGTAGGTTTGGCTGGTAGTAAATCCCTGCTGTTACTCACCATTGGAAGTTGTGCTGGAGGCAACAGCTTTCTCACTGACATCTGTTCGACTGGAGCATTTCACGATGGAATTCTCCACTTTTTTCTTCTCCGTGGTGGCAGAGCTATGGGACTGCGCCTCCATGATGACTTCTCATTACTTCAGCTCTCCTTGTACTAATACCTGAATGAAACAAGTGAGTCATATACTTTAAATACTAGTCGAAAGCTTAGCCCAAAACCTCTCACACCTCTCACCTCTGCAGAAGAGCCTGCAGCACAACCGAATTAGCAGTCCACAAGCCATTTCTGAATGCCCGTCTGATCATGTTTGCATGCATAAATTCCTAATGGATCCAGGGGGAAAAAGCCACTGTTTTTCTCCTATGTCCAGAGCACTTCAGAACAATGCAAAAGAAACCACGACAGCCCTTCATGTTGACTATAGAAGCCAAATATTTAAATTTCAACATTCATGCTATCTGAACACACTGCAGCAAGAATTATCCTGTCTATCTCTACACCTTGTCCTACTCGTGTAAACATCTCTCTCTTTGTTTGTTCAGAAATCTAACTCAAACAAAAGTGCACTGGAGCAACACCCTGAAAACTACAGGGAAAGGCAAATATTATTGCTAGTGGCAGATAATGAGATCACTTTCTTTTGCATGAAAATGCTGAAAATGGAGAACACTGCAGAGGTGTGTGTCTGGTTTCTCTGTTTTTCACTGGTTTTCTCAGTGTCATCTCCAGTGACCCATTCGTTTTATTCCCACAGATCACTTCTCCTTAATCTCAGAGCTTTTATATTCCTGACGTAAGCCCCAGAAGCCCACAAGCTTCCAAAAGGGTAACAGTGCATCCTCCACACCAGGCCCCAGGACTGCAGGGACCTTGGGCTGTGAAGAACACGGGCATCTCCAAGCACTGGTCTGCAGCTTAACTCGACGCACGCCAGCCAAGTAAAGTAAGCTTTACACAAGCCCTCAATATTCAGCACACACCATGCTTAGAACCGACGTACCTGGGTACTTTGGGAGTTTGAACACGATCCTATGCAACAACACAGGATATTAAATAAGTATTAATAAAAAAGTATTAAATAAAGAGTTTTCAGCTCCGAGCAGCACTGCAGTCATTAGCTCCAGGGGCCCGAAACGGAAGGAAGTCGCACTGTTCTAGAACAACATTTTAATGAAATAAACAACCAAAGGCTTCAAAACAAGCCACAAAGTAAACTCTAATGAAGTGTAATTACATTAGCAACCTGCTTCCCCAATTCTGACAGGCCAAGACCAAAAAACAACTCAACCAAAAAACCAAACCCCAGAACAGGCTACAAAGCCAATTCATCACAAACACAGCTGTCTAGTAAACCTTCCCCATCTCACCTCCCTAGGAGGAGTTACTTTTAATAGCACAATAAAGCACTCCAAAGCCTCACTGTTATACAGTAGGGATCAAAGAAGAGCCCAGTCACTAAATGAATCATTATTTAGCCAGGCAGGTCAGCCAGGGAATTGGACTAGATACCAGAGACTGCCACTGACAGTCTAACCTTCGGAGAGGTAGTTTTCTTCCCTTCAGTTTCTTTCTTGCTAAACCCAGCAATAACAAAGCCACGGCAGAATACTTCTAAGAGTACTTTCAAGATCTGCCTCTGAAAGTGCTACAAACATCACTGTCATCTATGAAACGACTTCCTAGCAGAACATGAAGGGGAATGTCAGGTGTCTTCAAACAGGAAGCTGAAGAAGTGTAACAACACTCAACTTCCAGCAGCCCTCACTTGTATCCAGCAATGCACAGACCTCATTGAGGAGACATCTCACATGAGCTTTGTAGTAAGCAGCACCTTTCCAAATTTCTCAGATGCTTTCTCCCCCTGTTCCCTTGCATGTCTCATGCAAGAGCATCCTCAGCCTTGGTCACCTTGGTCAGTTGTCATGTGTATCAGGCTTCTCAGTCCCTTGCATTAGCAGAAACTGGGGGGAAGCTGGCACTGCTGCCAAGCTGTTGACCCCATACTGACAGGAACATGTTTGTTTTCTCTGTACAGCCCTGCCCACATAAGTGCCAACATCTGCCTCTACCCAGCCCCCAGCCACTGCATGAGCGAGTCCTGCAGTGTACCCTCTCGTGCTCTGACTACCCTCCTTTGAGTTATTTAATATTAAAAGGAGTAACTTTCTGTGCTGTCTCAGAAGGAATTGAAAAAGCTGTACATTGTCAGTTGTGGTTGTTTTTCTTTTTGCCTTCTACAGCTGCTATACATCAGGCAGCATCTTCGTTTACATCAAAGAGTTTGGCTTTGAGAGCTTGGAAGAGGAAGCTGCAGAACTTGTCCCCCATTTTTTTTCTCTCCAGTTCACAATCCCATTTCTTCGAGCTGTAAGCCATGAAAAGAAACAATCATGCTCCCTACTCAGCTAGAAATGAAGAAGCCACATGCTCTGTCCCCATTTCACAAGGCCAGTGGAGTGGCACAAAACTGGATTTCCATTAACTTTGCCACGGATTTGGGCAAAGATCACGAAAATGATGAGAGGTATCTACAGCAGCTCCACCACCTCCTGCCACACAGATGACTGTGCAGGTATGAGCAAGGACCCCTCGCTTATCTCCACCTCCTTGCCCTTTCTACCATGCAAGGACAGGACCGCCAGGGCAATCTGATGCTACCACTGCTCAGAAAAGAAGATGATGAAGGTACTGTAAGGAGTTAACACAGCTTTGATCTGCAATTCCAGAGCTTGCTCAGACTGGCATCCATCCATTCTCTGCTATTTTTTTCTTTCCCCAGCAGCCTACCAATGAGACGTTTCTGGTGCTTTGGGGTTTTTCCTTTAATGTAAGGAAGACTAGCAGACATAATTCCACATTTCCCACCGCTCCCTATCGCGTTCCTGGTTTATGCTACCTTGTGCAGACAATGGCACAGAACAGAGACCTAAAGTAGTGCTTAAAGTGAATTTTTGGTCATAAAATTGCAAAGTTGGCCACGAGCTAACATAAACATCTGCTCTTGGTACCTGCTCTGGTTCATGTCTGCTTAGCTTACACCCAGAAGGCTGCTTTTATTCACAGCAGCATGGAAGAGGGAACACTGCAAGACTGAACCTTCTTACTGAGCTCTCGCCCCACGGCATGAGGCAGCGGCCCCGCAGACGTTTCCTCCCGTGCCTTCCTTCCCAACCCACATGCACGTGTGGCAAAGGCGTCTTGAGAGGATTCCAGCAGCTCCAGTTACGCTCCAGTGCCCCATCAGATACATGGTGGTATGCATGGCTGGGACAGTAAGGAAAGCCAGGAGAGATGGCAGGACTAGTAAACTCGAGGTGTGTGTTTTGATACGTTTTGCCAAGCATGCCTGATAGGGAAGCAGTCAACTGGAAATCAGTATGGTGACCCAAAAATCTTTTTTTCTCCTGAAGACAAATGGAAGCCCAAGTTGAAAACACAAACCAGACACACGTCTTCTAGAATCACAGAATGGTTTGGGTCAGAAGGCACCTTAAAGCTCATCCAGCTCCAACCTCCTGCCACGGGCAGGGACACCTTCCACTAGACCAGGTTGCTCCAAGCCCCTGTGTCCAACCTGGCCTTGAACACTGCCAGGGATGGGGCAGCCACAGCTTCTCTGGGCACCCTGTGCCAGCGCCTCAGCACCCTCACAGGGAAGAGCTTCTGCCTAATGTCTAACCTAAATGTCTTCTCTTTCAGCTTAAAGCCATTCCCCTTGTCCTGTCACTGCATGCCCTCGTAAAAGCCCCTCTCCAGATTTCTTGTGTGAATATTTCTTTCCACTGGCTGCTAATGCCTATCAAAAAGCATTCTGAAAACCAACCAACCTGACATCATCTTCACATTAAAACACAAGGTGGTTTATACTGTGGTGTACATGGCTCTGCCCAGTGTGTGGGTCAGTGACTTCCCTGTTCCTGCCCCAGGCCTGAGACAATATGGATCTATTCTGCAGCAAGGAGCTCTGCTTTCAACAAACCAGAAAGCTAGCTTCTGTTGGCTATCCAGCATCTCCATGTGCATATGAATGGCAAGAAAATGCTATAACAGTATATGGGCTAAAGCCTGAACTTTCATAGGTAAATAGAGGGATAAACATTCCTTCCTGAAAGCAAACATTCATGGCTTTTTCCCCATTCAACCATGCTTGAACCTTTTGTAATTTCCCTAAAGCCTGAACCCCCTGCACAATTAATTCCAGATCCCCCATTTTAAACCTAATCCCTCTCAAAACAGCAACCTGCCTGCAGGTGTGTCTCTCCTTTTCAAATCATAAACATAAACTTCTTCCCAATTGCATATTATAGTGGAGGAATTTCAGGAACAAGCTACTGGAATGAAGTAGTTAAATGAGGAAAACTGCCTCTTTTAAAAGGAATGTCAGCAAATGACAATATGCTGGAGACGTGTTTCAAACAAAAAGAATCTCTCAAGCAATTTGAGATTATATAATTCGTGGTCCTTACGTATGCTGGTCATAAAACTGTGCCTCATGGTAGTAAAAATAATCATATTCATATACCAGGGAGGGAAAAAAGCCATCTTTTTCTTCATTTACTCACAGTGCCAACTCACTGAGAGCAGTGGAGCAACCCTCTGCCTGAAAGAGCAGGAAACGTGACGTTCTCCAAGAATCCTCAGGTCTGTGCTCCTCCTCTCTGATTCACCTTAAAATCAGTGCATTTACATTGCATACGTTAGTTATAAGGACCAGATCATGCAAACCTTTATTCACAGCAATATGAACTCACTGACTTCAAGAAGACTACGTGCTTCAGCCTAAGTGCTTGGGCAGGAAACACCATCTAAAATTGTCAATTTTCACATTAGACTGGTTTATGGTTCCTGCAAACTTGAACCTTTTTCTGCCTTTATTTGGCTTGGTTATTTTGTTGGAGGGGTTTTTTTTTTCCTGAGGTAATATATTTTAATGTGTTGGATTTAAAAAAAACCCTAAAAGCCCCTTTCCCTGTTTCATTCGATGCTGCTGTAGTTGTATTCAATTCATTAACAAGTGGTTTGCATCCGCTGAGAAGAACTGTCTGAAATAGCAGTGTCACAGCATTCATCATCATTACATCAGCAGTAGGGAAGTTCATACTGATTGCTATCAGCAACCAGAGTGCCCCAATCAGCGTGCAAGCAAACATAGCATGTTTAATTTCTCAG